AATATGGTCTTTCTTAAGGAGTATCTGTGCTGCCCATTATTTCCATTACCAAAGGAAATGCATCCCTCAGAATACAAGGACGCCAAAAATATCAGAATGAAGTGGTTACTCCGCAAAACAAATGACCCTGCAAGAGAGGGAGAATGGAGGGTGCTGTTTTCTTCCTTACAGAGGCTATGAAAATGTCTTTTTTGAGAACAAATAAGAGTTTCTGTTTTACTGGTCATTTAGATCATATTATTCATGATGTTTCTAAGTTGTGGTTTTAAGCTGACAAAGATTTGGCATTCTCTCTAAAGTAATGAAGCATTTGTCCTTCTTCACTGCATTTTCCTCCATTATAAAACACGATTCCCATTTAAACTAATTAAAATCTAAACTTTGATGGGAAAGATGGTTGGAGTCTTTTGTATTTTTTTTTTCCCTAATTTATGGCTTGGAGCTGCAATTTTCTTCAATTGGTTTTATTTTGACCCTAGGGAAAAAAAGCAGTTGCTGTCATTGTTTTGTTTCTGTTTTCTGTTATATTCAACCCTAACCTTTCAGAATTATTCTAATTCTTTATACGACTTATGAAGCTTTACTCTTATTCTGAAGACAAGAGGTACGAGATTTGTAATATTCGTAATGATCTTTCAGACTCGATGACCAACGCCCCCCCTCAACCTACTACTTCACTATAAGTCCACTTCCAAAAGAGAGTTCATTATTTTTTTTTAAGATTTTATTTATTTATTTGACAGAGAGAGCGAGAGAGAGCACAAGTAGGCAGAGCAGCAGAGTGAGAGAAGAGAGAAGCAGGCTCCCCACTGAGCAGGGAGCCCAGTGCGGGGCTCCATCCCAGGACCCTGGGATCATGACCTGAGCCAAAGGCAGATGCTTAACCCACTGAGACACCCAGGCGCCCCTTGTTTTGTTTTCTAATGCAATAGGCATCCTGATAGAGTTGTAACTTTAGTATCCTCAGTTTTTAATTGAAATGGGAACTGGTTATTTGCCAAGCTTCCCACTTCCCACCATCACTCACTTGTCTATCTGCCCCAACCCTGGGCACTGATAGAAATTTGTCAGCCCTTATTCACAGTGGGCCAGCTTGCTTAAGCGATGTCAGATCCTGGGGTTCTGAGGATGCCCCCACTCTGAGACCAGGGTTTGGATACAAGTCGTTTAGCCTCTCCGACACCCAGTTTCCTCCTCTGTAAAGTGAGATGTTGGAGAGGTCAGTAAATAATAAGAGTTCACACAAGTGGTTAACAGGATCGGTAGCAACTTGGGCCAATATTTATGGAGGAACTTTACATGATTTTTCCTACGCCAGGACTAGTTAGTACCAAATGGAGTAGGAGATGGGGGGGGCAGACTAATAAATGATGATTTTTGATAGATTAATAATATGGTGAGAACTAAGTTCAAGAGACACAAGAGGAGCTCTAGAAGCATGGCGTGAGCCCACGAGTTCTTTTCAATGCTTTGAAAATCAAACAAAAAGCCTACACTGGCTCTGAGAAGGCTGAGCCGCCCGACTATAAAATGCCTAGTTTCTTTGCGGTAGCTGGAAAATGTCAACTGAGTGTGGTAAGACTGGTTCCACGATGCCGATCCCGAGCCCCGGTTGGTAGTTGGAGCCCTAACTAGCAATTCTGGCACCTGTGGCAAACGGCGTGCGACAAACCCTAAAATCAACTTTTTAATTCATGTTGCAGCTCACAGATGGGTGTTATTACCAATGTGCACCATCTGGTGGCTTTCTATTTTAACTTTTCATTCTTGCCCACTAGACACAAAGCTTTTTGAGTTATTATTTTAAACGTGGTGACCTCTAAACATTCATGACCTGGGACAGAAAGTCCTGGTCATCCTGCCCCCATTATGGTCCTGATTTTGAGTTCAAATGCACAATGTATTATTACTTAACAACAGTTGGTTTCCTAAAGCGATGTTTTTTAAGCATGAGTTCCATGAAATAAAAATTAAGAAACGAGAACCTTCAGTTGCAAAAATGATTTTGTTAAAAATGAGTGTTGGCTAAAAGACTCCAGGCTGCACTGCCAGGTGGCAAGTATTTCGAGTCCCAAAACTTTATGTGTTCTTCATTATGTCTGCTGTGCTCAGCACTTAGCACATGTTGGACACCTGAAGCCCGCCAACGGACCAGCAACATCACAGCCATCCGATTTGGTTGCTAATATATTTCCAAAAGGCCAGGCCAGTATCCAAGGCTAGGACAAACTCCAGGTTTCATTGTCACTTGTGTGGCTGGAGCCTTGAGCTAGTTGGATGTCTCCTTCACATGTTCCAAAGATCTGTTTTGTGAATTAAAACCTCTGTAGACACACCCGTAGACACCATCACTCCATGAGAACTCTTTTTGCGGCTCCGGGCATATCTTCGTTGTTATTGTTATATATCTTGCTTACTTCTGTCTTTTAAAATTTTTGCTGATATGGCCATATGGATAGATTTCTCTCTCTCTCTCTTTTTTAAGAAATAGAATATATCAGGACCATCTGGCCAGGCTAAAGCAGCCAACAATGGCCCAAGTAACTATCAGGGAAGCCTGGGCATGCTCAGTAATGCCCTGACTTATTTCTCTCTGCTTTTGAATATGAAGCCACAACTACTAATACCTCAAGTGCAATGAATTTCTTTCCTCTTCTTTTTCCATCTGAAATCCTTTCTCTTCTTTATGCCCTCCCCACCCCCCACTCCAGTTCAATGCATTAGGCTCTCCAGGAGATGCTCTCCATTATCTCCTATTTGCAGGCTTGCAACATTTATATTTTATATATACTTACATGCCTTCTTTACTAGACAATATGAACAACTTTGTTGGTTTGGGAAAAAGAGGAAGCCATTCAGAAATGTATGAAGTTGAAAAAAAAAACATGTTATGAGCTTAGAAAATTAGACGTTGCATGAGAAGGGAAGAAAATTTCGAAGTCAAGCATCAGAATTAGATCTGGAAGTATTGTGATTTCTTTGTTATTGAAACATAAAATGATAAAAAATGCATAAGGGGAAAGCTAATCAATTAGACTTCAATTTTAAACTACTATATTTAAAAAGAATACCACATGGGGTGCCTGGGTGGCTCAGTGGGTTAAAGCCTCTGCCTTCGGCTCAGGTCTTGATCCCAGGGTCCTGGGATCGAGCCCCATGTCGGGCTCTCTGCTTAGCGGGGATCCTGCTTCCCTTCCTCTCTCTCTGCCTACTTGTGATCTCTCTCTCTCTCTCTGTCAAATGAATAAATAAAATCTTAAAAAGAAAATAAAAAGGATACCACATTTAAAGCTAACATGGTTCAACAACTACTTACACAGATAAATATTTATGACATGATAGACAAAGGGGAAGAACTTTAATACAGAGTGCGTTCTTACAGACCAGTAAGAAAAAGAACATCCCAAATGCAAATGGCCAAAAAGACATGAGCAAATAATTCCAAACGATACAAATGGTTAACAATCATACGGGGGAAAATATACAACTTTATTGGTAATCAAACCAATTCAGATTTAAGGACAACAAAGTCCAATATTTGTGTAGAAATTAAAGATTTTTTGAGACGATAGAACGTAAATTGTGTGAGGGGTTAGGCTAATGACGACTCTCATACTCCGAGGGAAGTATGGTTCGAGTCAACCTGTCTAGAGGGCAGTTGGTCAAAGCTTTTCAAAAGTGCTTCCCCTTTAGACTCACAATCCCGCTTCCTTCAGCAGAATTTGTTAAGCATCCAAAATGTGCCCTCTGGTTTCCCATAACTAGAAACTAAATTTCAAGTGCCAGGGGCTAAATCTGTCCTAAAGAAATAATCAAGTACCTGCATGCTCATTTAGAAGGGTGTTATTCGTGGAATTATTTATGATGGTGAAATGTTGAACCCAAGTTTAATACCCAATGGTAGGAATTTGGTTAAGCAAATTATGGTAAATCCATGTAGTAAAATGTTCCCTTAAAGACAGGGTGAAAATACTCACAATATATCATGGTATGAAAAGGCTAGTAGCAGATCAACATATACAGACTAATCCCAAAGTTGTTTAAATAGAAACTGAGTAGAAAAAAATTCTAGAAAATTTTAGTTTGTATACCACCCTCAAAAAAAAAAAAAAATCACTGGATAGGGTTTTTTTTTAATATCCTCTATACTTTTCTACCCACAGTGAACACTGATTATCAGTACAAGCATAAAAATATTTTTTAGTTACTAAAAGTGGTCTCTTCAGAATAAGATGGGTAGATTTACACAACATTGTGACTGGTCAGTGTAGCTCACTTGGAAGGAAATAAAAAACTCTCTGCTATTTAAGATGTTTAGTGTTAAATTTCAAGAACACAAACACCAAAGATTTAAATCTAATAAAAGCAAAGTTGTTTTACATCCTCAGGCCAAGAACCATCCTATAAGCACAGTTGTGTGATGGCGCACACTCACACAGTGTCCTTGTAGCAGGGTGAAGTCATCTCTTTGCCGAGTTTACCTCTTTTGAGTGAATGCTGTCATTTCTCACATATGGTTAAAAAAAAAATCATTGCTACCACTGCAAGGATTCCCAAGAGCAGTATGTTGGGACCTGATGGGTGGAAGCCTCCATCAACATATCTTGGTTTATGAGATTGACCTTTTGTCTAACATTTTTCTTGGAAGAAAGAGCGATCTATCCTGAAAGAAACACATGTACCCAAATAACGCAGGAGGTGGGTGGAGAGAAACCAACAAATGCACCCTTTTACCAAGCTATTACCCTAATCTCCAAAATATCATTGTAAACAAGGTAAACTAGAAGGCTTAGAATATTATTTACTTCGATGTCCAAAACGCCCACTGTGCCCTTTTCTCATTGTTTTCTTGGTTCTTCTGTTCTAGATAAGCAGTGAGCTGGCAGGAAGTCGATAGGACTGAGGGGGGCCAGATATGTCTGTCTTCAGGTTTACTGTGCATTTTGAATGGTTTGTGCCATGATCCTGTAATGACCTATGGTTGTTGTTCTTTCCCCCAGAATGTCGAGTGGTGAAGTCCACTTCTTACACCAAAATAGCTTCATCATCCCGCAGGAGCACCACCAAGAGCCCAGGACCTTCCAGGCGCAGCAAATCCCCTGCCTCGACCAGCTCAGGTGAAGTGTCAACAGAGATGAAGAAATTGTCTCGTTTCTGATGCATGATGAGCAGAGGGTGTGTGAAGCCCAGAGTGTGAGGTTTTTAAGATAGAGGAGATTCCAGTTTACAATTTTAGAACAAGTTGGAGTGGTGGAACAGATTTGCCAGAGTCTAACAGGTTAGCTTTAAGAAAAAGCACCGAGCTTGGGAAAACTTACTAAGCAAAGACTCAGGAAACCCTGATTTGCCCACAAATAGAAGTATACCACTGACTTGCTTCATTTCTACTAAAAAAAAAGAAAAAAAAATCAGTTTTTCAGGTTAAGAGCCCCCAACTCTACAAGTCTCCGTCGAGACGTTTATTCTGTGTTGGTCTGGCTTATGAGGAGTTTCCAATCTGTCTTTGCTAAACTTGCGTGTAACACCTGTTTTACTTTGGACCCCAACACGACTCTGGAGCTAAAAGCAGTGAGAATGCGAGCCTGGGGCACGGAAAGCTGCAGAGGCTCTGGTCTGTGTCCCAGCTCTCAGTGGCTCTGGTGCTGGTGCTAGAACAGGAGGTAGACTCAGGAAATGACCATCTCAGCCCTGCATCTTTCTTCTTTGGTCTTAAAAATGACATGCGTCCGTTAGGTGTCTGTTGGGTTTGGTTTGGTTTTTTCTTTTTTCTTTTTTCTGTCTGGTTTCAGGAATGAGGTGTTTTTCACTGTCGAAGGGAATTATTTATTAAATCATATAAACTGTTAAATGGGAATTTCTTTTTTTAAGATTTTATTTATTTATTTGACAGATAGAGATCACAAGTAGGCAAAGAGGCAGGCAGAGAGAGAGATGAGGAAGCAGGCTCCCTGCTGAGCAGAGAGTCTGATGTGGGGCTCGATCCCAGGACCCTGGGATCATGACCCGAGCTGAAGGCAGAGGCTTTAACCTACTGAGCCACCCTGGTGCCCCTAAATGGGAATTATTAAATGATACATGCATCCAGGTGTTTGTCCCTAATCTCATGCAGACAGAGAAGCTCTTATAAACAGAGGCAAAGACCTTTGGGGCCTACATGGAGGCCTTCTTGTAACCACCAGGGTGGCCCCAGAGGCACATCCAAAGATCTCTAAGCTGGGGCTCCGAGGCCTGCCTCTGGCATCCTTCATCAGCTGTTACACTACAGTGTAAGCTATACCTCCAGCCTTAAAAATAGAGGAGCTATGATCTGTTTTTCCTAATAAAAAATAATACTATAACCTCCAAAGTGAGTCTTGGAAAAAGGAGCTCTTAGTAAGCTGGCTAGCCGGAACACCCAGCTCAACTTGGTTCTCTGAGATTTACCTTCTCTCTGGGCTTTTACTGGTTATAGCTCTTCCCTAGACAGGTGTCCAAAGATCTTCTCTTTTGAGTCTCCCCCAAAGGGTGGTAACGATGGGCAGCCACTGCCTCCTCACAGCGTGTCCAATGTCGTATCCAGCCAGGGAATGTGTCTCATATCATAGCTGGCGCTAAGATGCAGCTTTTTGGCTCCTCCTCGTGTAAGGGTGGGCTGAGAACTCCTTTCTTAGTATGACGTAGCTCACCCAGACTGGATGGAACCCTGAAATGAGACTCTGCTAATGGGTAAAGTATTGAGACTCAAAGTTCAGAGTGCATGAATGTCACCATGTAAAGTGTCATTCTGACGGCCACCCCAGATTCTGACCGAGGGCCATAAACTTCCACAAACCTATGTTTTAGCAAGTATTTTAGACGATTTTTAATCAGATGGTCTTTGCACCATATGATGAGAATCAGTGGGTTCAGAAAGTGGTTCCCAAAATGCATCTCCCTGGACCAGCAGTAGCACCATCCCCTGAGCACGTGTTAGAAATGCAGTCTTGGGGCACCTGGGCGGCTCAGTCAGTTAAGTGTCTGCCTTCGGCTCAGGTCATGATCTCGGGGGCCTGGGATCCAGCCCCACATCGGGCTCCCTGCTCAGCAGAGAGCCCGCTTCTCCCGCTCCCTCTGCCTGCTGATCTGCCTACTTGTGTTCTCTATCTCTCTGTCAAATAAATAAATAAAGTCTGGAAGAAAGAAAGAAAGAAAGAAAGAAAGAGAGAGAGAGAGAGAGGGAGGGAGGGAGGGAGGGAAAGGAAAGGAAAGAAAGGAAGGAAGGAAGGAAGGAAGGAAAGAAAAGAAATGCAGTCTTGATGAGCTCCTTCGCAGACCCACTGAATCAGAAACTCTGGACCAAGGGCCCAGCCATCTTGGTTTTCACAAGCCCTCCAGGTGAATCTGATGCTCGTCCAAGTTTGAGAACTAATGAATTATAGATATCAAAAGGGAAATAAATAGGAGTCATTTGTGCATAATCTAGTGAAAGATACAGCTTGCTCATCTTCCTTTATTGGCATGACAGGGATGACTTCCTTTCCATGCCTCTGCTTGCTTCCGAGGGGCAATGTCCATCTTTAACCCTTGCAACCCAAGAGCAGAGCTCTAGACACCATGAAGTGTAGACCCAGGTTACAATGACCCACTTTCAGAGAACTGATTACCTGGGGCAAGAGAGAATTTCGGTCTGAAGACCACCCTTCCCTGGAAACAGATATGGGGGAAAGTCTTTGCCTTCAAGAGAGATACCACCTACACACATACCACATTTGTAGAGGTCCACAGATTAACCTTGTTGACTAAGCTTGTTCATTAACCAGCCCATAGGCTAAAACTGAGCTCTTTGGAACACGTTCAGTCTGGACCAAAGAACACTGCTCATTTCCTTTGAGCAAACCTGGGCTAACCCCCATGGAGCAGTAAGGAAGAAAGAGATCTTGGGCCTAGCCAGCCTGTTGCCCCTAAAAACATGGAAAGGAGAAAGAAGCCCCATAGTACCCGAAACATTAGCAATACTATCAAAATACTATTAAAAACAACGACATTAAAAAAAACAAAATTAGTCCTCAATCCAAAATGAGTCTGACATTGACAAATTTTTTATCTTTTTTCTTAGTATATACCAGGTGTAATGGGGTAAACATCTAATAACACATGATTAGCCAAATTCTTCTGTCTTTTACAGTATAGCTATTTCAACAGAATCAATATGCATTATTTAAGCACTATAGCTATTGACTTTTTGTTGTGATTTTTTTTTTTTTAAGATTTTATTTATTTATTTGACAGCAGAGGTCACAAGGAGGCAGAGAGGCAGAGAGAGAGGAAGGGAAGCAATCTCCCTGCTGAGCAGAGAGCCCGATGTGGGGCTTGATCCCAGGACCCTGGGATCATGACCTGAACCAAAGGCAGAGGCTTAATCCACTGAGCCACCCAGGCGCCCCTGTTGTGATTGTTTTTAACAGTTTTTAAAATGTTGATTTAGTTTTTTTTTTTTAATTGAAGTAGGGTTGACACACAATGTTGCATTCATCTCTGGTGTAGAGCATGGTGATTTGACAAGTCTATACATTGTGATGTGCTCTCCACAGTGTGGCTCCCACGTGTCACCAAACAACACCATACAATGCCATTGACTACATTCCCTGTGTTGTGCCTTTTATCCACGTGACTTATTAGTTCCTTAACTGGAAGCCTGCTTCCCCCACTCCCCTTCACCCATATTGCCCATCCCCCAACTCCCTCCCTCTAGCAACCATCAGTCTGTTCTCGGTATTTATGGGTCTAGCTCTGCTTTTATTTTTGTTTGTTTATTCGTTTAACAGGTTTTATATTTAAGACCTGTGGGCCGGCAGTGAAGTGCTCCTAGGTTTGGGCAGAATTTTTTTTTTTTTTTTCTGTTTCTATTTAGTCCTCATAAGTCAAGGAAGGGGGATAACTCAGATTATCATACACATGTTGAAGAATGTTATCATGAGATCTGGAGTAGTTACAGTCTGCTGCTGAGTTTTCTACTATAGATGCAAAAGAAATGTCCTCGCGTTTTCTGTCTGATTTGTGGCAGCCAAGATTGAATGAGGGAACGCAAGAGAAAAACATGGAGAGAGAATTTTTGCGACTCAGAAATAACTTTGCAAATAGTGAAAAACCTGTTCTACTCCAAAAATGAATCTAAAATTTGAGTTTACAAAAAAGAATCATGAATCTAATTTTAAAAAGATAATTATGAATACAGGACGTTTATTGCGCTTTAGGATTAACTGGTAACATAATCACTACTCAGCATCTCTAAGATTATATAAGTCTTATAAATATAATATATCTAATATATCTAATTATAATCTTATAAATATAGATGAATGTATCGTTTACCAAAAGTAATTTCAGAAACTCTAAAAAGCAGACAGGCAAATGTAATGAATGTATTTCTATTCGTCACTGCCAACAGTTGTAACTATCCTTTTTAGAAGTTTAAAATGGGAAGGATGATGGGGTGCCTGGGTGGCTCAGTGGGTTAAGCCTCTGCCTTCGGCTCAGGTCGTGATCTCAGGGTCCTGGGATCGAGCCCCACATCTGGGCTCTTTGCTCAGCGGGGAGCCTGCTTCCCCCCCCTCTCTCTGCCTGTCTCTCTGCTTACTTGTGATCTCTCTCTCTCTCTCTCTCTCTCTGTCAAATAAATAAAATCTTTTAAAAAAATTAATAGTCTAAAATGGGAAGGATGCATTAACCTCAGAATCAATAGATTTTTTTCAAACAAGCGTTTCTCTTTTGCTTCCCTGAACCCTTTCAACTTTAGTTAAAATCTGGTTGATCTGACCAGCACTAACTTGGAATTTATGATAGGTGTGCCCTGCTGGGTACTGTCATTTCCATTAAGAGAGTAGAACCTGAATCCATTCTACCAACAGCAATCCGACAACAAAAATAAATAAAAGGTATTCAAATGGGCAAAGAAGAAGTCAAACTCTCTCTCTTCGCAGATGACATGATACTTTATATGGAAAACCCGAATCCATTCTAAAAGTAAACTTCACTCGAGGTATTTTTTGTCTTCTAGGTCAAAATTAATTAAGGGGCACTGGTCTCATTTTGTTTAACGTAAGGTCTTTATGCATAGAAAGTTTTGTATTTTGATCTAGAAAGTATGCCATGCGACCAT